TGCCTGCTTGTGAGGGGCTGTTTTTCTGAATTCAAATGCAGCTGAGCAGACTTTGTAGCCTGACACTCCTACAGGCAAAGTAACTCCTGTGCCGTGCCTGCTGTAGCTGGGAACTCCTCTTTATCGTCAATGTTACCCAAACCCACAGTTTTTAACTAAATACGGTTTCAACTAACATCTACCATGTAACAATCCATTTGCTTTTTGGTTAGCTATAGCATGAACATAAATGAGGCAAAAATCCTTTGGAAGGGACTGAATGGAGCAGAACATGATTGTTTTATAGAGTAATCATTTCTCCTTGGGAATTTCTTGCACTTCCCTGTCTTCTGCAGTCTTTTTGCAAGCACAGGATAGAGATCGTGCAGATCCTTAAAGATCACTGGCACTGAATCAGGCAACTCACCAAGGTGCCCATGCAAGTAAGAGTTTTTGGGAGTGAGCTCATAATTTCTAAGAGCAAATACAGTAGGATTTTATAAGCTCAAAAAGGCTTGTGAGAGTAATAATCCATAAAGCCTATTAAGCTATTAAGGTAACCAAATAAAGCATCTGCATTTTGATCTGTCTCCAATCTAAATGCTCAGCATGAATCTTTCTTAGTGATATAAAGAAGGCAGAAGAAATCATTCTCCCAAAGACAATTTTCTATGTTTCAGCTTCTGTTAGAAAAGAATCCAGAAACTTCTTCCACTTTTACAACATCTTATATCAGTATAACGCTTTCAATATTTGAAAATGTCTTCTCTTTTAAAAATGATTTTTCATTCCTTAAGACAAAAGATAAAATACACTGGTTCCTCTAGCCTATTTATACTTTTACATGTTCGCACTGTTTTACCTGCTGTAAAATCCATCAGCCACACTAATCCCATGGCATCTCTGCTCCACTTACTACTTGTTACTACTGCTCCACACTATTGGCTGGATGTTCCCCACAGCATTTGCTTCTTTTTCAATTTTTTCACTTACATTCAGAATCAGCTTAAAGACAAATTTCTGTGCTGATCATAACGGGCAAGTTCATGACCTAACAAAACTAAATTAAATGGAACTTTTTAGCTAATGTTCTTTGGAGGTTGCCATTTTGCACCCTAACTATTTTGTTTTTAACTTATTTTTAACAAGTGGTAAGGTCCTTAGACTTTATAGTCCTCTGGTACATCAAGTAGGGCCAAAAAACATGGCTATAGTGCTTACAATACATTTCTTAAAATTTTGTATTGAGTGTCATGTGCTAACATCACAAACAATAATCTTAGCTTTTTGGCACAAGCCAATAGGTGGACATTTGCTACCTTCAGCAGCAGTGTATTTAATTTATGCTGTAAAACAAGCTTTCATCATTAAAAATTAAAATGGTTTACAGTCTTGGTTTTGTAATTGTGAAATTGTATTCTCAAACGTGAGATTTCATATACATATCTTAAAATAATCATAATCAAATGACACGAAATACGGTAATGCATTCATCACATTCTGCAACAGCATTCACCAATTCATCCAATATCAGTTGTCAAAATGTTTGGTATTCATCATCTCCAAAACTTTACTATTTCAGAGTCACAGAAAAGCCATTCTTATGTCTGTCTAGCAAATGTGGTTAAATTGAAATCATTCAATAAGATAATGTACTGTTTCTCACTTAATTGAGAAGTCCCCATTTTGGCAAACTATTTCTTTACATTTTCTTTATTTTAAACTATTCTTCCTTTTACAACCCTGGAAAAGTTTTACTTCCAAGACTATGTACAATTATAATTCAAAAATAAAGACTAGAAAGGCTTCACAGATAAGCCAACCAAATAACATGGATTATGATAGGAAATAAAAAGATGAATCAGTTTCCATGGTAAAATATAACTACTGTCATGGGCACTGCGGCAATTAACAGAACCTGAAATAAAGACATCTTCTGCCTGAGTTCTACAATAGGCTAGAGTTCATCTTCTTAAGTAATTCTGATTGTATTATTTTTCCCGTTTATTTTTTTCATGCCAGGTGATATTTACTTACCACACACCATGACAAATGAAGATATGTGCGAGAAAGTCTTGGATCAAAAGAAAAAAAGGTGGTTCAGAAAGTCTATCTGGAGGATGAATTGAGAGGACACAGAAATATTCCATTCATCGTGTTTATAATTTTAATTCTTACCAAATAATGCTCACTATCTGAATGACTGAGAACTATTCAGAGGAAGTGGGCATGGTGAGCCTGGGTATCTAGAGAATATATTATAAGCACTTGTGAAGGGTACAATTAGATGATTCTTACATTTTTCCTCTACTTATTCAGATACAGATACTCCAGGTTTAGCCTCAATGACACAAAATTAATATAAATATTTTTACAGTGTAAGTTAAAATAAAGTACCCTTATCCCAACACCAAGCCTTTGCCTTGTTCAGTCAGATGGCTTGCAGGAGGAAAGATTATAACATTCAGTCATTTCATTTATTCAAAGCCCCATGTAAATAACTGTAGTGATTGTGTATTTATTTTGCGAAGTATCTTTCAAAAAGTGGACTTAAACCACTAGGCCTGCTCCTGAAGCATTAAAAACAAAATTCTACTGATTTTAATGCCTGAAGTTCTCTCTGTCCATCAAAGAAAATAACTTTATTTACCACTGAAATATCTGTGGCTGAAAGGCAGCTACAGCTCGCTGTAAAATTACACAAAAATTTGAAACGTGGAGAGGCCAAGAAGCTGCTTGGGAAAAGTAGGTGATAGGGGCTATGTGGTCTATATTAAATATTTATTGATCAGCATTGATTATGATAGCATAATATTTTTCTTCACTGTTGTAGTGCATTGCCATATGACTACTGTGTTGCACCTGAATTTAGCACATCTGTCAAGTGGCTCGTGAAGTACTCTACATATATTTTGCAGTATTCCTCATCCAGAATCTTTTCCTGGGTAACATGTCACAGCAGCTCCTCCTGCCAATGTTTTATTATTAAAAGACTTTTTATATAAATCCCAGAAAGACTATGCCAAATCTCAACAGAGGCCCAAGCCTTTGGCACTGTGATTAGAGAGGCTTCTCCCCTTGCTGTGTACTGCTTCTCATAGCATCCCTGGTACAGCTACACACAACCAAAGGCAGGAGGCCCATCATTCCTGGGGACTCCTCATTGTTGTCTCCTGTCCTACAACTTAATACGATGAATGCTTGTACAAATAAGCAGATTAGACTAACGTATCAGAAATTTTGATTGGGCACTTGCGCTGCACTTGACTATAAAACACTGAAGTGAGATCAAGAGCAGTCCCCCATGGATCACTCAGAATTTTTAAGCAAACACTGACCTGCTCCTTCTCCCACACAGATAATAAGCACTGAAGGGGAATAGTGGGGAAAACTGCAAGCTCTCCCTACAGTTCCTTGAAGGATCCACAGAAACACTGAAGAAATTTCATTTCCATCTGTATCTGGAATTTGCCATGTCTGACAAATTAGATAAATAAATTCTAAGTAATTTTGCATAAATATCTTTTCTTCAAAGGGAATAAAATTAGCAGTGGACATAAGTTGCATTTAAATATAAGATCATTAGACTATCCAAATCACTCTTACCAGAGGTGCTTTGCAATCAGCTTACATTAGCTGTGCTGTCCCCAATGCAAATGGCAAGGATAAGCAGGATCTGGCAGTTGATCAGACAAATTTGTGACATCTCATTCCTCCCTGTGAGCTGCTGGGACACAGCTGGGACATAACTTTCCCTGACAGGAGAGAGGGAACAAGACCTTGCTTGCATTTCTTTTATAAGAACAAGCACTTCATTTGTCCCTGGACGCTTCCTGCTTCAACTAATGTAGTTTTCTGTGTACTCCAGCATTTTTCTCTTAAAAGCCTCAGAACTCTTTCACGTACTTTTTTAAGAGGAAAAGCTATTCCCACACTAACTATGAGAATATCCATTTCTTACAGCCTTATGGATCTAGATTTCCTTTGTGCTGAAAGATAAGGGAGCCTAATCCTAGCTCCATAATATGAAAGGTCTCTTCCTCTCAATACGTTCACATTTTTCTTTAAACAACATTAATACCCATGTTTACTTGGATGTCAGAAAATTGGGCACCAGAGGAACTCCATTCCCCTCAGTAAAGCAACTCCAGATCTCCCATGTGATTTTTACAGAATTTGGTTCTGTCCACTATATCTTATTAAGATTTTCTTTAAAGAGGGGTTATTTACCTGCCAATCTATGTATTTTGTTCCGAGCAAAGGCTAAGTCCTGGATTTATCACCTAGGGGAGCACTCCCACGAAGCCCTAAGGAGGCCGCAAGGAGTAGAGCAAGCAGTACTTCATACCAGTGCTTTATAGGATACAAATAGCTCTAGAGCATCTGACACAATCTTTGAAAGTGTTAGCATTTGCTCTGTTTTGGAGTGGTAAGTTACGCACTATGTAGAAGAGCTGGAAAGAAATGTGAGTTGAACAAAGAAGGTGCCAACTTCTTGAGCTAGGTTTAGGTCCAGTTTGCCTGTTTCCAGGCAGAAAATGGAATTACATTCTTTATATTGCTGCTGAATTCTTGTTTTAAATGGTAGTACAGACCCACACGGCACCAACTAGTGCTGCTGAATCCTATACATCCTATCACTTCTTAACTTCAATGACCAAAGGCAGAGGCAGAGCTTCTCCTACAAGGCTGAGGGAAGGAAATAGTCCTATCAGCTACTGAAAGCTCCAATGTTTCAGTTTGGAAATAGCTAAACAGACACCTAGGTAGAATTTGTATATGATTTTATTTAATTATTTAAAATACAAGAGGAAAAATATTATTGATGCAATGATAAGCATTAGTATGTGTAGCAATGTTCATATTCCTGTAAGGCAGGAGCTCATCTAAACTCATCTTTATTTGCCAATAAATGGCAGGTTTAAAAATGTTTTCAAGCCATTGGTTCTCATTCTACAAGGATAATGGTGACCTAAAGTAGGAGGATCTCAGCTTTATTGAGACATTTATTATTTATCAAGACAGGTAAGACCTGGATGACCTTGGCAGTCCTTGCAGAGGTGGAGAAGGAAAGAGTACAGAGATGCTTACAAGTACTTCTCGTGATATATCCAGCAAAAGATGGTAAAATGTTACGATTGAGGTAATACTGCTAATGTGAGCTGAAGCTATGAACAAATCCACTTTCTGTCTGTAACTGGCACACTCTTTTTCCCCTCTGCAGGCTCAGCAACCATGCAGAACGCTTGCACTTCTCCAGATGCTGAAAACTGCTGGGTCTATTCTGAAATGAAAATCTGATTAAGTGTATCTTTGATCTGACTAAAATGTGTGCTTGAGAACCTTTGTGAAGTAGGTCCTCAGTGAATACTGTGGCTTTCTGATTAGCCACAGAAAATATGAAAAGAGCAAGAGCAACCTGCCAAGTCATAAATTTATCTTTTCCATGATTAACTCCCTTCTAGAGAGGGCTGCACCATCACTGTACATTTAGGATTAGTATTCTTGGTACGTCCTTTGATGTACTGTATTGCTGTTTGTTTACCCCTATGCAAAATTAAGGTAACAATACAGACTTTTTGGGAAGTGATTTGCCAGTACATACATGGAAAATTCAATGAATGAGCTAAATATTTGGCTCAATCATCCAGCAGCCCTTCGCTCCTACACTTTCTTATTCTGTCCCTGGCCAGAACACTGTTATTTGGATAATGGCAAAACCTATCAAGAAATGAGCAAGCCCTTTCAGTGAAAATTAACGGATGAACTTCTTTTCTCTGGAATCAACAGTATAATATCTACTCATTGCAACAGGGATGCACCCCTAGAGTTGATATTGTTCTCTGCCCTTCTGAGAATCCTGCAGAAGAGCAGGATCCTGTCCTTTGGGTGCACACTTGGTGGTCCAACTACAAGAAGGAGTTCTCACATTCAACAGCCGGAGAGGCCAATGTAGCATTTTGAAGTTTTGTGAATGTCAGACTTAGCAGAAGTTACATATCAATTCCTTTAGAGGTCTTGGTCTTTGTTGCTTACACAGGGAAATGAAGCCACAGTATATATCCCAGTTTAACTCAGCTTCTGCAGTTTTCACTGGGCTGATCACTGAAACTGTGGACATCACCAGAGTTCAAAAAATGTACTGCTTTAAGGTACCTCTAGTCACAACAACAATTACATTAACAACATAAGAAGTTCTTGTATGGACCTATCTTTTCACAGACGTTGCAGGCATTATGAGATATGAGAGGGCTGTTGACTTTGCATCAACCTTGGCACAGATAGCTTAAATTTTCTTAGTTGTTGTACACAAGGCCAGATGGTTGAAATAGCAGGTTCTAAGTTCAAGATCTGTTCTGTTCTTGCTTTAGTTAAAAGTTTCTCCTAGATCTGATGTTGCTGTACCAGCAGTTTCTATGTTTGCAGTTCAATGACTAAAATGCATGTGCACTGTCATAGCTGTTTCTTGCTCTGCAGAAAATGTGTATACTTACAGGTGCATACATAGTTCACCTTCCAATTGTTTGAGTGGTTCTTGGCTTTATTTACTGAGTTCAAGTCAAGGAGGCTGAAAATGTGGTGTAAGGAAAAATGAAGCCTTAATGTACACACTCCATGAATTTTCTTTGTTCTATCAAACCTACAGAGAAAGACTTGTTCAAAAGGGTCATTTTCTTGTCATTTTCATATAGCCTTCCCATCCGTTGTAGTTCTCCTTCACTCCAGTACCACTCAGTGGAAAGTCTTCCATGGTATCAACTGCAATGGAATTGAGGGGGTTTTATTTTTTGTTCTGATTTGTTTTGTTTGAGTACATATTTTCCTCATTCTCTAGAATAGTGTAAGGCAGGCTGTTTTCCAGCTTTTGTCACCTGTCTTTTATCATCTGTGATTTGCTGGACTTCATGAAGAATGTTGAGGCTTAAATACTGCATTTGGCAATATAAGTCATTTGACTGAAGAGGTCTTTGTATTAACAAGGCACTGGAAATCAGTCCACATCCTTCTCTGCATGTGTCATAATATGGCTCTTACTGTGCAGATAAGGCAGCCAGGCTGACAACACTGGCTGCAGTCTGTTCTTGTTTGACGAAAACAGTGCAGATGTTCCCCATCGGACATAAAAAGGTCAAAGAAAGCAACTGAATGTTGCCTTAAAAGAGGCATAGAGGCATACTCAGGCATTAGTATTTTTCACCTGAATTGTTTTGTGACTTAATGAAAAAGGGAGCAAATGAGTTAACAGATGAGTTCAGCTTTTGTTGTTGTTGTTGTTGTTTTTTCTATTTGTAAAGCTTTCAAAGCATTTCATAGGACCTGATTTACAGTCTTACAAAAAGTACATGTTGGCTGAGAAATACACATATTACCAGCAACAACCTATAAGAAGAGAATGGAAAAAACGCTACCATTCTGTGCAAGCCTTCTGCCTGTAGATACTTACTGGGGCAGAAAGCTGCAAATGAAGGTATATTGTCCCTGTCTCATTTCCTAAGCATTTTAACTCCTTTCAATACTGATGAAGCCAAACTGATGGCTAATAAAATCTGTGTACTCAGTATTCTTGTTTTATTAAAACATTGTTAAAATTTAACAAAATGATAATGGAATTATTTAGCATGATTTCTAATAAGGTTTTGGTCCATGGATGAACTTCATTGCTTTCACCAGCTTTCTCTTAAAACCATGATGTCCATTTGCTTTCAGAAGTCACCTACCATAACCAAACAGTGAAAAAAGGAGCTAAATTACATTGCTAAGCAAGTAATAGCTTGCATATTTTGGGAAGTCTCAACAATTACATCCATATACAGAAAGGTGTTTTATAAAAACATTCCACTACTTCCATTATGTGGAAATAGTAAAAATCTAGAGAATCACAGTTCAGTAAGGAATAACATAACTGTTTCGTAGTTTCTTCTATCAGCAGGGAGGTTATCAGTTCAAAATGATGGAAAAGGCAAAAGGTAATATTCTGTCACAGGAAGATGATGAACCATGCATATATTTTCACTATGGAAAAGCTAAAATTTGTCAAAAAAAAAGAAAAGTATTTCTAGTAGAGATTGGCAGACCTTCAAAAACACACTGACAAAGGCTCAACTGCAAGATGGTGAACAGCTCTAATCACATGCCAAGAGGAAATATGGTTTCTGACCAGGGCAGGTGCTGGGAAGGACACACAGGTGAACAAGGGACAATAAACCTCAGAGCTTGATTCCTCTATATAGAAAAAATGGCAGAATGGGGACACAAAGGCATTTTAAAAATTTATCAGAGAAACAAGAAACAGAAGAAAAGGATATAAACTGGCTACAGATACAATTAGTCTAGAAAAGAGAAGGTTTCCACATGCATTTCTATCTGCCCTTTTCTTATACGCTGCTTTGATAAGTGTTTATGAAGGGTAGCATAACATAATTGCCTCTGATTGCAAGCAACAGGACACGGAAGTCCATCCCAATGCCTCGTTGTCAGGTTTCACAATAAGTACTTGCTTCATATCCTGAAGAAAATCTAGGAGGAGATTTTAATTTTACTAGAATTTTTCAGAAGAGCATTTAATGTATTTGGTGATTATGGGCAAGTAACCAAATTCTCCTTCATTATAAAATGGAAACTGCTGGTATTCACAGTAGTAAATTCAACACACACACATACAGCCCCAGTCCTGAAAATACTCCACTTCAGAATGAAGCAGAATTTGGTTTTTATTTATTTATGCATTTTATTTTAATTAGAAAAGCCTCCTCTTTTTTTCTGAATTGCCTTCTAGCCAACATGATTCACTGGTGATCCATCACTACAACAGGTGTTGATAGACTTCTGGAGAGTCATGGTAGGGTGGGATCTCATAGTTTCTGTTCCCCAGTTAAAAAGTGGACACGGGGAAGAGAAGATTGACAAACTGGGGTAAATGGTTTCCCAGGAAGGAAAGCTGGGCAGACAGGATACTTTGGAAAATTTATAACCATCTACTAAAATAAAACTGAACTACAGAATGTGAGCAAATTTTTGCACACAGTGATGTATATGTGTCACTTTGAGAAATCTCCTAATTTTCAGGATGGAAGAGCAAGAAGGTTCATATAATTGCTTTATATGTGTACACTAAATGAAAATTTTGAAACAAACACCTCTGCTCAGAAGCAGGTTTTGACAATACTCAGAACTACTACAAGTGAAGTAGAACTGCATGTGAAGTGACAATCAGAGCTAATTCAAACTTATATGCTATTTTATGGCTATATAAAGTTCTTGTTCATTCTATTAGTACCTAGATGAGATATTCTGTGCTTAAGCCATGGAAGATAGCACATAACCTCAAGGACTCAGCAGGGAACTATATTTATATCACTGCCTTTTAAATCCTCCCATCCTAGCAATTGTAAAAGGCCATCTTTACTCTGCTATAATAGCATTTAAAATTAAAGGCAGTATATATATGGCTATATACAATAGCATTACTTGCCTTGGAAGTCACGCAGTTGACTAAGTCTAGTATAGAAACATAGTAGTATATTTAATTTATCAGAACCAATGTCCATTAAAATACTTAGCCATATTAATAAAATATTTAAAAATCACATGAAAATTTAAAAGAGAAATCTGATTTACTTAAATATAGTACTGAATTATTGTGTTCACATAATAAACCCACTTAGCGCACTTCATGAAAAAATCCCACATGGAGGCACTCAGGAACTCCAAATAGGTATTACTCTAATGCTCCCTTTTAAAGCCAGGCTATTTAATTTGGAGTTTATAAAGGAATTTAGTTCCTGTGTAGTACTTAATAAGAATGCAGCTATTAATTTGGATGCAAAATGACCACAGTGATATCATATAAAATAACGACCTTCAAATGACAAAAAAAAAAAAAAATTAAACATTTTACTAAAACAAGGGGAGAGGACACTGCCTTGAATACCCATATTTGCACATAAGAATGTTTAGGTAATCCTTTTAAGAGCTGGGAGTCTGACGCAGCATCTCCTTACTCCTCACTTGGCCTAACACATAGGCACGTGCACGCGCACACCGCTGTCCATGGTTTTGAAAAGAGACAGAAAATCGGAAAAAAAACCCCAACCAACCAACCAACCAACCAACCAACCAACCGTAAAACCCCATTTAGTTCTCATGAGTAGATTTTATTTAATGTTGTGAAATACCCTTCAAAACCAGTAATTCTAAAGTATGCAAGGACCTCTTTATGCTTAACTAGACATAAGGTGCTTAGATTTAAGACACAGTGACACTGAGAAAATGTATCTTAAAATAATACTAAAAGATAGAGCTGTCAGCGTTTCTCTAACTCCCCCTTCATTAAAAAAACTCACCACCACCCCCCAAACTGGATTTCCTATTTCAAATTGAGCACTCAATGCACCATTCTGAGTCATAGCACTGGGGTCTGGCAAGCATCAAGCTGTGGAAACCAGATGACATTTTAAACTTCAAACACAGCTCGGGTTCCTTAAGGAGTCTGGGTAGCTAAACACACCTTAAACCCATTGTACCTTGGCATTTTGCCTTGTGTAGCAGATATCTTAAACTCCTCCACAGCCATTTATGCAGTCTAAGCCCTTCTATGATGCTTATGATTTAACTTGTAGTCAGGCCAGGAAACTGACGTAGAAACCTTCCTATCTCCCAGAATTCTCATTCAAATGCCCCTCAAACTTCTGATAAGGCAGAAGTTTAAACCTTTAGAAGTGACATCTATGAAAGTTCAAGCAGATGTAGCTTTGGGTAGAACTACACATGTGATATTAAATTGCAGAAGAGAATATTCCTTCTTCCATTGGCCAGATGTTCTTCTCTCCTATTTTTCCCAACCCACTTCTCCAGAGTCTGTTCTCTTAGGTCTTATCTCTCAAACAAAAAACAAACAACAAAAAAAATATAGGGTGAAGTTTTATCCAGAAAAACTTTAACTAAGACTAAAATTTTACTTCTTTCTTCTCTTCCTCCATCCCAACCCATAGAAGGGAGTAAAAATTCAACCCCTGCAGCTCAGAGATTAGGTGTTCCAAGGACCGCATAGCAGTGTCTACCCGTTTTCTTCCATATTATTTTGTTTGCTTGTTTTTTTGAAGAAGGACATTACTTGCCAGTGAAAAAATCTTTCCAATGTGTATTTCATTTCTGTTTAATCTTTGATTTAAAATTATTTTAAGCAAGAATAGTAGCTAAATCTCTGCTTAAAATTTACATATATCGTCTTGGAGAAAAAGCATAGACAATTTACTTCCACTATTTCTGCCTTTGGATTCTTTTGCCAGCAATAGCATTGCAATGTGATAGTATGACACAGTGGTATGATAACTTCAGTAATTTTTTGGCTAAGCCAGAGACACGGACTTCAGGAAAACTGTGACCTTCACATTCATCTTTCAAAATGCCAAAAACTTATGTATCAAAGTTATTACAGAGATAAGAAAAAAGCTGGAATAGCTTGTAGCAGTGAACAGCCCTGTCTCCAGAGCAAGAGGAAGGAAGGAATTAAATCCCTGAGACGGAAATTGTAGCCCATTAATGTTTCTGTACAAAAATAATGGTTTTGAATATCTATTATTCTTTTTCAAGGACAGGAGAAAGAGATCCTGATTTCATATTTCATTACTTTTACAATGGGCTTCAGGTACAACTACATTAGCCATTGTACAATAGCTTTCTGATCATGCTTGCTCTGCTCCCTTGCTCTAGGACCTTCCATGGGATCAGGCAAAGAGACATTTTTCTGACTCAATCCCATCTGTATTGACCTCCTAATATTGTTATTCCACAGAAACCACTAGCATGTTGCATCACTGGAACAAATTGTTCATTAGTGTTACTTCACAAAAAGGTTATAAAATGCATTAATAAAAACTGTTGCATGCTGTTGAATCTGAATGTAAGAAAGCATGAACTGAGGTAAAATACTGTTGTCATTTTCAAGCACTACCTGCCACTGCACAGACCCAGCTTAGACCTATAGGAAATCATTTCTACTCCTGTGATCGGAACATGAATGGCATCAATATTTTGCTGCAAAGCCTAAGGCTTCAAGTAATCCTCAGCATAAATGCCTGTGTGCTAAAGAGGTATGCAAAGTGAGCAGAATCCTTTCATGTGGATCCTCGAAAATTATTTCAGTTGTTGGCAAAAATAGCATTTCACATCTCTAGAAGAAAAAGTGAACCAGTTCATCAGCAGAGCTGTTAACGGTTTGAACTGTAGCGAATGGCAGCTCACTACATCCATCAGGTGCACTGTGATGCCACAGAGAGCACTGGCACAGGGGCTGGGCAGTCCTGTCCCTATGGGATGGTACCACTTCGTTTCCCAAGTGGACCTCTGCAGCTGCTGTCATTTGTTTGATAGTACTTATACGTAAGTTAAAACCATGCAGTCAGAGGAATAAAGCACTTCAAAATGTACTGTGCGCACAATCAAAATGTACTTTGCTCACTTCATAATTGCAGCAGAATGTTAGTTACTTATGACAACATTTCAGAATGCACTAACTGTATGCAACAGACACTGTAAAAAAATAATGGCTTAGGAATCAGGGCTACAGCAACCTGCTATTAAGTATTACCTGAGAAGAGGGGAGACTGCCAATTTTTGTGTGGATTAGCCACATGTGGATTATTGTGGGTCTGCTCTATTGCCATTTTAAGTCATCAATTGTAATGCTTTTTTAAACTAATCCCTTGGTAAATGGATCGCAAAGAACGCAACTTTAA